TAACACCGTTGTTAAGTCTGGCTTCCTCATTGACTTTGCTTATCAGAAGGTCACAAAAAGTGATCACATCATCCCGGGACACTGCAACCGTTATAAATATGAACCAATTGCCAAGCGTTTGAATTTTGATCATGTGACCATGGGGAAGCTGCAGCAGTCATAAGTGTGAAAAACAGCCATAAGTCACTTTTTTTCAGCGCCATAGTAACTTCGAACGGTCACTAAATGAACTGTTGTAAGTCAAGGACTACCAGTATTATAAATAAATGATCATATTAATTTGCCTGTTAAATATCTACATTGGTAGCTGTTGAAGTAGGTTAAGAACTTTTTCCTTTTTTTTACTCCAATTATTCCATTCCAGTTATTTAAATATCCATAATTTAAGATTTAGAATTTGCTTCAAGATCCCCAGTGTCCCCTGGCTCCAAAGTGCAAACTGCACAATCTCCAAATGGCTCTTTGAGAGACATTGCCTACAGAAGGTGAGGTGGTGTGATGGACTACAGTGAAATGACAGAGGTAAACATTAAGGCAGAACTATCCTCTTTCTAGTATATCTACAGCAGAGCAGTGTATAATAGCTTGGCCTCCAGTGAGAGATCATGTCTAAATAAGCAGGAGTAAGGCCATGGTTTTCCCAGTTGCAATGTATGGCTGTGAAAGTTGGACCATAAGAAAGGCTGAGCGCAAAAGAATTGAGGCCTTTGAACTATGGTGCTGGAGAAGACTCCTGCGAGTCCCTTGGACTGCAAGGCGTTCAAACCGGTCAGTCCTAGAAGAGATCAACCCCGACTGCTCTTTAGAAGGCCAGATCCTGAAGTTGAAACTCAAATACTTTGACCACCTAATGAGAAGGAAGGACTCACTGGAGAAGGGCCTAATGCTGGGAAAGATTGAGGGTAATAGAAGAAGGGGACGACAGAGAATGAGATGGCTGGATGGAGTCACTGAAGCAGTAGGTGTGACTTTAAATGGACTCCAGAAGATGGTAGAAGACAGGAAGACCTGGAGGAATGTTGTCCATGGGGTCGCGATGGGTCAGACACGACTTCGCAATTAACAACAACAACAAGACATTACAACAAGTTGGAAGAGAAGGTGATGTAAAGCCTTACTGATAAAGTCCATCTTCCCAAGGTTCTCTAGTAGAAGATAAGGACATTTGGCTGAACGTCTTGTCTTAGTTTAGACCAGGCATGTCAAACTCGCGACATCACGTGACATCGCGCGACATATCACGATTTTTTCCCCATTGCCAGCAATGGGGCGGGCACGGTTTCAGTATGATGTATCCGGCCCATGGGCCGGCAGCTTGACATGCCTGGTTTAGACTATCTAATGAGGGACTTATTAGCCTTTTTATCAAGGACTTCTCCATTCATCCCAGCAATAGAAAAAGAGAGCAGAAGGTGCTTTAGATTTTCCCATTCAAAGCTTAAAATTGTAGGACAAAATAGGCTTTCTGCCAATCCTGAAACACAGGGACAGCTCTGTAACAGTGCATAATGCATGTCTACCCACAAGGAAGGTTTTCATGAGAATTATCCTTTTGAAGCTGGTGCAGAGAAATACTTAGATATTTAGAAGAAACAAGTTTATTACTGTATTGGAAAAAGGGGAAATACAGGAAAACAAAAAAAAGGCAACAGCTGCATACCTAGTATTCTAAATAAAATCAATGTTGTCATTGATTGCTGGCTAAACTAGTTACTTACAAATACTGCCTTCTTGAATAAGATCTTAGATGTCAGTACATATTCGAGGTTCAAAATGGTATGGTAAGAGAGAGATCAATGTCTGGGCCTTCTGTTTAGATATTTTTAGGCAAGGGCCGTTCCTCCTTTTTTGGAAGATAATTGAAAGGTTAAAGAAACATAATTGAAGGCTTGGAAAATTGACTGTTACTTTATCCAGCCGAGCAAAATGCTTCATTGCCGATGTCCTTGATCCAGTCAGCAAATTATAAATTATTTTGTAGTTGAACTCACCTTCCTATAAATATTGGTGGAGAGGGAAATGATACAGAGATAAAAAATTTTTTTAGCAATTTTATCAAGGACTTTATGGGAGAACTTCATCTAGTTTTACTTTAGCATGAGGTGATGTCATTAGGCACTGTACTTTGGGAAGGAAACATTATTGACTATCAAAAATTGGGAGTTTGTCACAGATAATAGTAACAATTACAATATAAGGGTAACTGAACTGGTTTCTGTTCAATATCTGTTCATCAACCATGATGGTGTCCTAGCTGCTCATTCTAGCTGGATTAATCATCGATTCATACATTCTCAGTAACAAGATGAAAGGTTGGGTTTAGCAATGTGCTATGTGGACAGGGTTAATCCAAGCAAACCCATCCCAATCTTTTTTACTGGTTTCCTGTTTCCTGTTAAGAATAAAGAATCACTCTGGCCTGTTAATTGCACTTTAGAATTGCAGACAGTCAGAAATCATTAGCTTAAATCCATTTGAAACCTATTTATAATTTAAATGTTATATAGATCAGTATTAATACTGAATCAAGGAATGGTTAATGTTACCTAAAGGTATCTAAACTGTCTTTCCTCTTGATTAACAACAGCTCATGTGAAGTCTTGATCATCCAGGAGATAAATGTATGGCGCATATTTGGCCCACCTGTTGTTTTAATGACAGTCATTGGAAAAGCCATAATTGAATCAAGGGAAGCAGTGATGCATTTAATGTATCATCAAAGCTACAGTTGGTAGGAAAATTGCATTTTGACCTTGATGAGTCATAGCTACATTTTACATGGGACAGAGGTAACCCTACAAAGATCAGCCCATCTAGGTTCTTGTGGAAAAATAAAGCCTTAAAAAATATAAAGGGCTTTTACAAAATTCCAGAGGGTGAAAGAGAGATCTTTATTTTTGCGCAAAAAGGTTCAGAAGTGATTTAACAATCAACAAATTTCTAAACAAAGGGGAGGGTCTAAACTAAAGCTTTATAGGTTTCTTTCTCTCAGGAACAAAGGAAGCATAGATGGAATCTTACATTGTATATGGAATCTACTTTGTGTAACATTCAGATAGTTTCTCACACGTTAGCTCCATTTCTCATGGGAATAACAATGAAGGCAGTTTTTACTTTTATACAATGTTTCTAAATATGCATTAGGTCATTCACGTACTGTTAATACAGCTTTTGGCTAACACAGCTTTCTTTCAGAGATTATGCAGACACATGATTTTTGCTTTTAGTGATTTTTCATTATTATTATTATTATTTTACTTTATTCTTCTTTATTCTATGTTATTCTATTTCTTTCCCACATTAAGGTAAACTAAATAATGATATCCTTAAAAATAAAGGTGCCACCATATAAGGGTTTGAGGGGATGAATGGGTAGATCCAGAATATATTAGTAAGACCTGATATGTAAAAGTGGTGATACAGCCCTTTCAGATATTTACATTCCTTGGTTTTGTCATGACCCCAAGGAAAGGACTGATGGTTGTGGCAATGTTCTGCAACTGTGATATGATCCTCTGGAGTGTAAAATTAAACTGTAGGGAGATGTTTCAGTTCCTGCTGATGCACCATTTTTCCTGCTGCCTGGTAGACTCATTCCTGAACTTCTGACTGGGTTGTTTTGGAGTTCCCCAGCTATTGGGGAGGATTTTAACCTCTATGCCCTCAGGTCAAGGGCAGGAAAGACTTAGGAATTCATGGTCTCCATGACAACCACAAGTTTGCCACCAGGTTTGCCTAATCACATAAGTGGACATACATAAAACCTCATTTTTACTTGAGTGATCTGAAGATGAAGGACTTTGCTTTGAACTCTTCTTGGTCCAGTTGAAATGTGTTGTCACCCGGGTCCTCCTCAGAGTGGGAGGATTAATCAGGTTGGCCCAGTTGGGTGCTTATGAATCCAGGCGGATTCTAGCAAGCAGTTAGGAATTTTCCTAGCACTTTGACTTGCAATTATGTCAGGCATTTGTTGAAGAATTGAAACTGGAACATGATCAAGATTGCTCTCAAGCACTACTTCAGGTTGCCTGGGTTGGTGTGTGTGAGTGGCTGACTCACCGTTGATAACTGCACTCCAAATCCGTTCACAAATTGTCAGTTTTCTCATGTTGAGTATTAACTTTACTATTTATATTAATACTTACATGCTTCAGTAAAAGATGGCTGTGGCGGATCACCTCAATGGACCACCAATGGTCTGCAGAAAGTAACTGTGTGTGTGTATGTGTGTGTGTGTGTGTGTGTGTGTGTGTGTGTGAGGGCAAGGGGTGAGGAGTCAATATTGTTCAATATTAAGGTGCTGGATTAGGAGAGAGAAAACCCAAGTTCCAGTTCCGTCCTAGACTTGAAGCCAGCTGTTGACTTTGGGCCAATCAATCTGTCTCACCTCTAGGAGGAAAGCAGTGTTAAACTACTTCTAAAAATGTTTCCAAGTAAACTGCATGGAGTTGTCCATGTGGTTAAGTGACTTGAAGGCTACACACACACATCCATACCCATGCACCAAAGACACACCAAAATAAATAAGGCCAAAAGAAGAATGAGAACTATTTTGAATATTTTAAAATAAAAGCAAGTTTCTAAATTTGAGTTCTGTTTGAAGATTGGGGTAAGGTGGAACTTCAGGCTCCCACCATGTGTTGATTGGAATCTGAACACTATTTTACACAAAATCTTTCTTTTCTTGTGCAATATTTGCACATTGCATTACATTTATCTTTTTAAAAAACTACACTAAGCAATGATTATTCTCAAATGAGATGTATAGTTTTATTTTGAGGTATTCCTATGGAGGACTATTAAGTGCTAAGCATAAAATGACTTAATTGCATCTTTGTGATTAAAATACTGAAATACAGATTCAAGCCATTTCAGTGGGCTTGGAAATGTAAGATAATTTCCTTTAATTGAGTTCCTTCCAATTTATTACACTGTACACTGTAGCTATTACAGTGATGGTCTTAAAACCTGTTCAGCAGTTGGTATCTTCTGCTTTCCAGCATGGGCGGACACCTCTCCATCTTGCAGCTTACAAGGGTCATCTTCATGTGGTCCAGATTCTGCTCAAAGCAAGCTGTGATGTGGATCTTCAGGATGATGTGAGTAGTCACAACCATTCTTGCAGGGAGTTTTTCTCATTTGTAATCTTTAGCTACATGTGACCCATTGTGGAAACTATGTTTACGTGGCAAATACGTTTTTTTAATTGATTCCCAGCCTGTCTGGGTCAACCTGCAAGGAACATTAGCAAATATGATGACAATGCAGAGCAATTACTTTAGGCGTTCTTTTCAAGAGCCGAAATGAATGTTTCCCAGATACTTTTGTAAAGTGGTTGCAGGAAGAAATGAATATAGATAAACTAAGGACTAGTTATAATCTGTTGGAAGCATGTTACATATTTTTTTAAAAAAAAAATCCATTTGCCCTTCCATCAAGGATATTGGAAGGGGCTGATTTATTTTTTCCTGAGAAACACTTGGTAGCAGTTTCTACTTTGAAGAGGCCAAAATGCCAATTAACGTTTTCACTGCAGTTCTGTCAATGTCTACACCTCTGGCAGCTGCATAAAAAGGGTGAAATAACACAGTCCAAGAAGGTTTGTATTTATAGAAATACATTAGTGCCTATCTTTAGCACATGAAACTAAGAAACTTTGGGCAAGAGGGTTCATGATTGATTTTTTGCACCCTTTGTGGATTAAGCTTGGCCATTTTCAGTCTTTACAAAAATATTGAGGGCATATATACAAATGGTGGTTTTGTTACTGTCCACAATGTTTACAGAATCTTGATTATTATTAAATCTGGACAGCACTTCTCCCAGCAATGTTGTTGAGCTTAGATCAAAAGTTAATTAACTGACGAAGATATTCAAGTGATCTTAACTTGAAAATGATTACTATTTATTTGATTAAATAATGGCATTCTCTTTTTCTGTAGACCCCCAATTCTTTGCTGCTTTTGATAAAGTTTAATTTTGCACAAATGTCCATCTTCTTTTAGATTAGTTTTATATATTACCTTGTGCAAGATATTTTGACTCTCTTTTATTAATTCTATTGTCTACCCTGCATTTTCTTCAGAAAGCTTATGCTGATGTACATGTTTTTCTTCCCTCAAACTTATCCTTACAGCAATCCTGTGAGATAGTCAAACTGACTTGGGAGTAAGTGTGCCAAAGACATACAAATTGAGTGAGGACTGTCGTGTCTTTTCAATGCTAGTCTCACATTTGCCCATAAGTATGATTAATAATGTAGTCTTGTAGCAGGATAACTCAGGATAACACTTCCAACTTTCAAGGGACTGCTTTTATTTTGAATTTTTTTTCCACTAAGCCACAAAAGTCATTAATTATTTTATTTGTAAATATCCAACTGTAAATCATTTATTATCCAATATATCTAGCTATCTCATATTTATTTGTAAATATCCAACTGTAAATCATTTATTATCCAATATATCTATCTATCTCAAGCTACCGATCTCAACAAGTGATTTTGGGTAACAAATCATAATTACCAGTATCCTCATAATTAAAGTAACCTCTGACAAATGATGTAAAGAAACTTGATAAATGTGGTAGAATATTTTAAATGCTGACTTCATGTTCTACAGATGTTGATTGTTAACATATTGTTAAAGACCTAATCATTAATTGAAGAATGACCTCCAGTGACCTTGAATGGGATTATTATGAATTTTAGCCTTTGGAAACCAGGTGTCTAGAATATGAAACCCCAAGAAGTAATTCTTTCCTTCTCCCTGCTAATCCCGCAAGCCCCTATTGGAATCCAGATGCCATCTCTGATTGGTCAATGAGTGTTCACACAGCACATACCCCAGAAATAGTCAAGGGAGCAGTGGTCCTGGTCAAAGAAGTCGAGGAAGAAAAAGATAAGAAAAAACAGAGGAAAAAGGCTAGAAAAGATCCTAGAAGATTGCAAAGAGAGAAAGAGGTTAGAACTCTTTTTGGCTTGCATGTAGCATTCGGACCGGCCATCTGGCATGTCAGATCTACTTCAAAAATGCATGGTTGCATGTCTCACTTATTTAGATGATTCTCCACAAAGTAATGTACCTTTTGTGTAGAGTCCCACTGACTATTCTAGGGTTTCCCTATCTAGGAGAATGTACAGTATCCCAAATACCAAAGTATGTTGTTTCCCTTTATATAGGCTCATCCCTAAACAAGGAGTCTGAGGGTTGTGTATGTGATTCACTCACAGGCCACTGTGGTTCTGGGAGCATTTTTAATTCTTGCTTTAATAAATCAGGTTGTTATCTGTTGTTATCTATTGTTGAAGGGCTGTTATCTCAGGCATTATTTCTAACCATGATGATTACCCAAATGAGGACTTACACAAGCAAACTCCATTTCATTTGTATTTATTCCTTCCTTCCTTTCATTTGTATTTATTCATTTGTTGCACACAAATATACACAATCATGTACATAAGATGGAGTCATCAAAATAACAAATTTCATCCCTCCTGTTCCCCTGCCTCCTTGGATGAATATGACCTCAGGATCGGTATCTGGAATGGTTGAAGAGTACATATTATCTAGGATTAGTTGCTCATTTTTGTGAAATGGTTGAGGTATTGGAAACTAGCTTGATTAGGACTATTGGCTATGAAAGTGTAAAACGTTTGAATTGTGCATGCATTTACCTACCTTCCAAACTATGCAGGGTTTTTTGGCAACAGTAATGGGCTTTTTGTATTCTCTTTTTTTGATTGCTTTTGCATTCTTTTATTTTCCTTTTTTTAAAATCACCAAATAAATAAAGAAAAGGATGGTTAAGATAATTCAAGTCTTTATTCTTATTAACTGCAGTACTATAGAGAGTGCAGTGGGTAGCAACTTAAAGACACTGGATTTGTCAGCCAGAGATGGCATTCCCGCAGTTTAAGCTCATGGCGCCGAGTGGTGGAGTGAGCTCCCATCACTTGCCCCAAGCTCAGACATGTCAAACACAAGGCCCGGGGGCTGTATGTGGCCCACGAAGTGGTTTCATGTGGCCTGCGAAGCCATCCTGGAAACAGTGAGGGAACAGCCCCCACTGCCTTGGCCCTGGCCCAGGCTGGTCAGGAGCCAATATACAATTTTGTGGTGGCCATCTATGCTGAAACGCATTAGCTGTCTAGAAACAGCGAGGAACCAGCCCCTGCCGTGTCAGCCCCGCCCCCTGGGTGCATGCTGGGGAGATGTCACCTTTTGTGAGGAATGAAGAAATGGGTCATGCCTTGGCGCTTGCCCCGGTCCCACCCCCTTCTGCTAGAGACCCTCAGATCTGTCCCATTCCTTCCCAGGCCCCCACAGGCACCCTTGACGCAAACGATGTAGAGGTGGCCATGCCCACCCGGTAGGCCACACCCACTCCATCCACACCCACCCAGTAGGCCACACCCACCCTGGCCACACACACCCCGCCCCCTTGAGGGCAACCGCAATGCTGATGTGGCCCTCAATGAAATTGAGTTTGACACCCCTGCCCTAGCTCCTACCCACCTAGCAGTTCGAAAGCGTGTAAAAATGCAAGTAGATAAATAAGTACCACTCTGGAGGAAAAGCTAGTTGTGTTCCAAGAGGAAGTGGGAGCCAGTTCCAGATTTGCCCCAGTGCGAGGTGAGGTCAGTGAAAGAAAGCCCGGATGACCCAACATCCCTCGAGCGCTGCTAGCCAGCTGGTGCAAAGCTAGTTTGCCCCCTCCCATGGTGCACTGTGAATAGTGTCCATGTGTGAACAAAATGAACTGGAAATTTTAGACTGCCAGAACTACTCTGTGGTAAAAAGCAATGTAGACTTCCCTGGCTATGTATGCCATATGCTAAAACAATAAAACAAAACCTGGGTTACTATTTTCCTCTCTTATAAACATGAGAGTATTTATTTCAGGCACCAAATCGGTGTTACCTTGAATAGACAGGACTATTCTCTTATTCTGAGTGGGCACAATAGCTGGATTATATGTCTTTATATTGTTATTTCTACATTAACACAGTTTCACAGTAGAATTTACTGTTTATTAAGCTCAACAGTTAGCTTCCAGTTGCTATTGCACTCAATGGGACTTGGTTCGTTCTGAATTGCCAGAGAAGTGTCCTCTTTTGACTCAGAGACCATGTCACTTAGTGACAGAATTTCCGGCAGATGTTTCTGTCATTAAGTGACTCCTGCACTGTTATTCAGTGCAATGTGACAAAGTCGCCATTTGTGACTTGCCAGCTTCCCAAGTGACATGACTTGTAGGAAGCAGGCAAAGAAGGTCGCAAATAGTGATCACGTGACACCAGGATGCTGTGACCATCGTAAGTAGAAGGACCGGTCATAAATACTGTACCTCTCATTCATCACCATTGTCATTTTGAATGGTCCCTGAACAAGTGGTCATTAAGCAAGAACCACCTATATTAATTTTTTTTCTCATAATCTTTTAAAAACTGTATTATACTTCATTATATCCAACTCTTTGCGTTCTTCTATCCTATGTATTTTGTATTGCAGTCACCAGCTCATCTCCCATGTGTGAACGCATCATTGCTACAGGCACAGAAAGCTGGCCTGACTAACTATTTTGTAGGCTTTTTCTGCTTTAATATGGTCAGAAACTATCAGTGTCGCTTATTAAAACAATTTCCTGCTGTGTGACTTGGGATTCTTTTTAATTGGAGGGAAATTTTTCCAGAGCAGACATTGTCTTTCTCTAACGTTAGCATTACATTGGTTTTTGTTCATGCACTGATCTGATTAAAGTTACTAGTATAACAAAAATCTGTTGGGTGGGTGAGCAAGTGGGTTTCTGTTATGAATCAGTCTCTAAGCTATTTGATAGCAAGAGGTCATTCTTGAGTGCTGCTGTTTATGATAGCTTTGCCTCTGTTCAATGAAATCACTGTGTTTATTTATAGGTTATATTTATACTGTGTTTAAATATCTGCATTAAAAAAAAGTTCCTAGTCATTTGTTCATTTTCAGCTTTCTTACAGTAAATTGGCAGATGGGTGACAGTACAAAATTAGAATATAGAATGTAGGAATGACTATAATTTATACTTTCTGTGTTCAGGAGAGTAGTCTTACCTCATCGTATAATTATTGGGTGCCTGTAGACTCTGCAAGGCCCAATAATAATAAAAAAATGAATTTCTTTTAGGTTAATTGTCATTTTTTTAAAAAAAAGATGAATATCCTTATCTTTATCCTTAGATAAACACTGTCAAAATCATACAAGAATATATATGTAATTTTGTCCCCATATATATTAGTAGGAACTGATGAGTTTCACTAGACTACTACTTGGGACCTTCCCTGCCGGTTTCCCCATTGCCTTTCTGGGGAAGCCAACAAGGAAGGTCACAAATGGTGATTATCACAGGATGCTGCAACCAATCAATTGTGTGAGCCAGTTGCCGAGTGGCCAGATCCTGATCACAGGAACACAGGACTGAGATGCAAATAGCCCTGCACTTATGACCACTTGTTTAGTGCCATTGTAACTTTGAGTGGTTGCTGAACGCGTGGTCATATGTCAAGGACTATGTATCTCTCAAATTCAGACAGTATCTCATCAAATCACTGTCGACAGATTCTTTCCAACCAGCTACACCCCAAGTTACAATTTGTATAGGTCTCTCTGAGACCAAGCATTCTGAATGGGATGGTGGCATAGAAGGGGAAGATTCAGATGGACAGCTTGTTTCTGAGGCTGGACCAATATTGTCAATAATTCCCATATAATGACATGGTCATTATAAAATCCAGCTTTCCTCTCTCTTAGTTGTGGTTGTTGTTCTTCTTTATCATAGAAGTGAGTATTCACCAAACTCCAATCTGGTACTCCAAGCTCTGTATCTGTGGGCCCAGCACCTACTGCTAGCGACATTAAACTCAGCGCAAATAAGATCAGATTGAAGACACATAGCAGAAAACCGCTCCAATTCAGAACTCTTGTAGGTATAGTTGTTTTGCATTGATGAATGGATAGGTATATCGATGGAGCCACCCCCTTGGGGAATGAGATCAGAGTTAGGGTCCATGCTGGACGGCTGATTGAAACATTTCAGTAGATCAGGGGTGTCAAACTGCCAGCCCACAGGCCGGATGCATCATAGCGAAATCACGCCCACCCCAGTGCCAGCAATGGGAAAAAAAGTCACAATATGTCACGACACATCACGTGATGTTGCATGTTTGACACCCCTGCAGTAGATTGTTCAGACTGATTCTCAGGGCCAAGTTGTAACAGATCATCAACCATAGACTTATTCTCAAATAGTTTGAGAATTATGTTCCATTGACCGCTGGATGATTTTTTCCTCCTCTTTTGCATAGTTTTGCTTTGGAACAGAACACCATTTTTATATATTTTGTATTCTTGGAGGCTGGTCTTAGCAGCATTTCCACAGAGGAGCAACTAGAAAGAAGTAAGCTGTTAAGAGACCCAGTTGCAATGGTGGCTGACTGCACCATAAATTTAACTATTTCAAGGTTGCTTAAGATCAGTTGTGTTTCCTCTAGGCCAGGGGTAGGAAACCTTGGCTCTTTTATGACTCGTAGACTTCAGCTCCCAGAATTCCTGAGCCAGCATGGCTCAGCTTGGAACCTCTCCCTTTCCCCTCAGCATGGCTGGCTCAGGAATTCTGGGAGTTGAAGTTCACGAGTCATAAAAGATCCAAGGTTGCCTACCCCTGGCCTAGGCAGAGAGTGGCAGATAGCTGAGTTAAGACTTTCTCATTTCCAAACAAAAATCACTTGAAGCCTGTATCCTTTCCTTTCATTAAATCCAGGGTATTTCTTTCCCTGGATCTCTCCTGTTCTGACTTGATGTTAAAGGAGCTCCTTGTTTTACAGGTAGTGTGTGGATGGTTGTGATTAGGAGCTCTATAGTCTTGTGCCATCCTCCCTCACTGGCTTGGCTCTCCTCCCAGAATTTAGCAAGGGCAGGATACAGCCGT